AAACTAAACAAAAATAAAACAATGATCCTAACAAAAAACATCTCAAAAGCAAGACAGGACCAACTAAGCACGTTGACGGGGTTTAAGATCTGCCCCAAAATTAAATACTTGGGCATCTGGCTGACTGCAAAAAACATCCAGCTTTATAAAAATAACTATGAAACCGTCTGGGCAAAGGTGAAAAAAGATCTCGAGACTTGGAAACACCTAAACCTCTCAATGCTCAGTAAGATCGCGCTTATTAAAATGAACATCCTTCCTAAATTTCTCTATGTGTTCCAGAACCTGCCCATTATAAAAAACGTAAAGGTTTTCGAGCAGTGGAATAAAGAGATAGGCAGGTTTGTATGGAACGGTAAGAAGCCAAGAATCAAATTTAAGATCATGGAAGATAAAAAGGAGAGAGGTGGGTTTGGTTTGCCAAATTTAAGGCTCTATTTCGACGCCTGCGCGTTGGTTTGGATCAAAGAATGGGCCCTCTTAAGGAATGAAAAAACCCTGAACCTGGAAGGTTTCAACCTCGATGTAGGATGGCACTCATATATGTGGTATAGGTCAACAGGACCTTCCAAGATCTTTAGAAACCACTTCGTTCGAGCGGCCTTGATAAAGGTATGGGACAAATATAAAAGGTGGTTTTATACCAAAACTCCTTTATGGGTCTCCCCTGTAGAAGCAAAGCAGAGGCGCCTATTAGGCTGGCATAATTGGCCGACCTATAAAAATCTCCTAGACTACGACACCCTAAATAAAAAATATACTTTAAAAACACAGGAAGAACTAGCAAAAAGCCTAGATAACATGACATGGTTAAAATACTTCCAAATAAGAGAAACATTCAAACAAGATCAAAAAATAGGATTCGAAACCAGTGACTCGACCTGGGACAAAATACTTAAATTAGAAAAGAAGTCAATTACAAAAATATATAACCAACTACTCGATTGGGAGGTGGAATCAGAAGGGATCAAGCAATGCATGATCTCATGGGCAAAAAACTTCGGCAGAACGATTAACATACAAGAATGGCAGGTGACCTGGCGGAAAAATCTAAAATACACTTACGCCGCCTCTTTAAAAGAAAACTGGCTGAAAAGTTTCCATCGCTGGTATTTGACTCCTCAAAAGCTCAGCCAGATGTACAAACAATATAGGAATACCTGCTGGAAGTGTAGGAGAGAGGCGGGCAGCTATTTCCACATGTGGTGGACCTGCCCAGTGGTGGCTAAATATTGGAAAGCAATAAGGACTGAAACGCAAAAAATCATCAAACGAAAGATTCCGTTGAAACCGGAAATCTTTTTATTAGGGATTGTAGAGGACGACCTAGATTTGAACAAAAATGAGGATATTATTCTCAATTATTGCTCCTCAGCAGCGAGAATGGAGCTCGCGAAAGTTTGGAAGGGAGATCAAATCCCCACCTTGGAGCAATGGCTAAATAAGCTTCTAGACATTAAGGATATGGACAAGTTAACTTTTTACTTGAAGAAAAGCTCCGGATCTCCGATAAAACAAACAAACTGGAGTACACTAGAGGATTATGAAAAACAGTGCTTAGCAGCTAACACAACCTTTGGATAATAAGGAAGAGGACAAATGGTTATAGTCCCGAATCAGAAGGGTCAAAACTGAAATCTCTTGTCCCCCATCACCGGGCTAGAACCGGCAAGGGGCGAGGGAAAGCCACACAAATAAAAATTAATGAGGATACAAAGGAAGGGAAGTCTTTTAAACTAGAGGATGGATTGATATGAAAGTATGATGTGGTAAGCTTAGGTATAACATTTGTATGAAGATTGGTCACACTCAAACTCCCCCCCCTTTTTTTCCCCAATCCCCTAATCTATCCAAGAATGTCCCCCCCTCCCCCCTCCCTCCCTTTCCCCGTCCTTCCCAGTATTGTCATTCCCACCCCCTTCTCCCCTTCCCCGACACGAATGAAAGGAGGAAACGCATTTGGATGAATGTGATGAAGATGCTTGATGTTTGTATACTTTGTAACTTTTAACTTTTGGAAAATGAATAAAGATTAATTAAAAAAAAAAAACTTAGATGCCACCACTCCCCTGGGGCTCGGAGCGGCTTACAAGAACAGGCTAAAATCTAACACAATGTAAAAACAATTTAAAACAATTTAAAAACAGCAATATCAAAAATCAAAGGCCTGTCAAAACAGATATGTCTTACATGCCCTGCGGAAAGCTGATAAGTCTCGCAAGGCACGGACTTCAGGTGGCAGAGTGTTCCAGAGTAATGGTGCCACTGCTGTAAAGGCTCTGCATCTGGTTGCTGTTAGACACAAGGTCTTGACATTGGGAATTTCCAACAAATCTTGGTCCTCAGAACGGAGGGATCTCTGGGGTTGGTAGGGGGTCAGGCGGTCCTTCAGGTATATCGCCCCCAGACCATGCAAGGCCTTAAAGGTAAGTACCATCATTTTGAAAGTGATCCAGTGCTCATTTGGTAACCAATGCAGCTGCAGTAAGATTGGTGTTATGTGGCATCTCATCGGAATTCCCACAAGAAGCCGAGCAATAAAGTTCTTCTTAACTATAAGAGTTTGCTTTTTCCTGAGCCAACTGTGAAGGGCAGGATTTCCTCATATTTTTTTCCTACCTTCTCGTTCCGCACTGAGTTAATGGAGTACCTTGTGAACTCAGTTAGTAGTGATAGAGGGTAAGCTGAAAGGAGGATTAAAAAAACTAGGGCATTTTAAAAACAGTTGAAAAAATGGGACCTTAATTATTAGGATCCCTGTCAAATTGAGACAGTTGGAGTGTATGTATTTCTTGCATACTTCTTTATTAAGTGGCATTTGTTTCCTTTTTTGTCAGTTTGTGAGGAGACATGAAATACATTTTACATATTAAATGATTTTACTGTGCTTAGTTCCTTTACTCCTTGTTAAGGAAAAGCCAATGTTCCACTGCACATAAAGTTTCTCAAGTAGACATACACTCTAAATATTAGACATGCCTAGTGAGGCATAATGACAATAATCCTTGAGAATAATGAATTCAAGTGGTCCAATCTCTGTGCTTTTAAATTTTCCATGCAATATAATTAAAATTAAAGACACCCATTCACACACTCACACAAAATTTACCCTTAATGTTGAATGTTAGTAATAGGATTTTGTGTTGCCAGACTCCAAATTCCAATTATGTCTAGGAAATTTAAACTTTCATGGCAGCTACTGGCTAAAGGCTGGAACTGGGATGGAGAAGGAGAAAGGATATGTAAGTGGGAAAGGAAATTCTAGCTAGTAAAGCTGCTTTCCAGTAACGTAATTTGCACTCAGAGCCAGTTCAACTAGTGGGCCAATAATATATCATAAATCCACAGCTTAGTTATGAAAATGGTAAAGAATTTCTCAGATGGAAATAATAAGCTCCATGCTTACTGAGCACAGATCTTGGGATATTTCTTTGGATGATTATTTGCGCTGATTAAGTATCGCTGATCTCTTCAAAATGAATTAAATGGATTTTATTTCAACTTAAAATGCAGTCTCTTTTTTAAAAAAAAACAAAACAAAACCCCAAAACCAACAGAACCTTTGCAATTGTGCACAAGACCCTGTCAAAAGAGGTTACACTCACTATAGATTATCATTAGGTTATTTAAATATGGATAAAACTGTAATCAGCTCAATGTGTCTAAGGTTTCCAAATCTTCCCACGATGTGAATAGTGATATCATTAGAGATTTCAGAGTGCAGCTGGAACTGTTTAAACCTCTGTTTTACAAGTCAACAAGAGGAAAGTGAAAAGAACTGTTGAGATTTAATTTCTGGCATTGCTAATAATTCACACTAAAGACAAGCGATCAGTAGCTGTTGTTAATTATCATTGCTAAAAACTAAATTTCTATTTACAGAGTCAATATTTATGTTATTTAAGATTTGTTACCCTATCTCTTAACTATATTTTACAACTATTTTGAAGAATTATACCAAAATGATATAACAATCATGTTAAAAGCTGAGGAAAACAGTCCTCAATTCAGTTTTTTTTTTTTGAAGTAATTTCACTGATGGAGCCTGGAGAGCAAATGGATGGCAGGTAATCCAGAATGAAAGGTGATCACCAAGAAGGTCTATTCATTCCAGCACTAAATCATGGGTTTTAAACAGGGGCAAAAAATCCTGGGACTTCAGAAGAGGTCCATATACAGACCTGTTGTTCCCGGGATTTCTGCCTCTGTTCTCCAGACTTGATGCTTTGTTGTGAGATTTAGAGACTCCCAAGATGGCCTTTGTGGGACTTCAGTTGGAAAATTCAGGTTTTTGTTTTTTTTTAAAAAAAAAAAAACAAAACCCTCAAGATGTGGATATGAAGAGATTCAGATATGCGAATCACTGCAAAAGTTCAGTTCTTTGTCCTGGCCAGAGAAACTGTGCCCTCCAGATGTTTCATCAATTATCTGCCACACAAACAAATCTAACGAGTCAAGACTGCTTCTGCCCAAGTCAGCAATGCATGATCAAACAGGAACACACACTTTCAAGTCAGGAACAGAACTGTGTCATTATTGATACTTTTTAGAACTTGGCTGCCTGGCCATCTGTCCAGACAGATTTGGTTATGTACTTGTAATATCAAATAACAGGGTGCTGTCTCTGGGTTATACATGGCTGTTCCCAGTTGCTCTTCTTGTGCAAAGATGTACAAAATTGACTGGGGGTGGGGGGGGGGGGGACAACATTGTTCTGGCTAGAGAAATTGTGTCCTCCACACATTTCATGAAGTTTCTGGCACATAAACAAAGTTTTTGTGTTCTATGCAACTGTCACCTTCTTTTTAAGAACCAACCTATCAGGAACAAACATCTAAAACCTAGGAACATACTTAGATTTTTTAAAAAACCCCTTTAATTTCCAATATCAGGGACATACAGATACAATGTAGTATCTGCATATTCGGCTCAAACCGCAATATTCCTGCACCTAAAAATCTCGCGTTTTTGCCATTTGTAGCGATTGCTACTGCACTTACAGGAATGGTGTCTGGTCACCCTCCTGCTTGCTGCGGAAGCTCCTGGGATAAAGGTACTGTCTGGATGGGCCCCAAGTCTCCTTAAGAAAGGGAAAGTGGGATAAAAATATATAAATAATTATATATAAATAATTATAAATAACAATAATTTAACTTCACAAGATGGAGACACTGTGAACAAGATGACTTTTCAAAAATCTAGACATTTTTCATGTAACATGCAGATGAAAACATGTGCAAGTAACCTTGATTATTATTACATCTCTACTCCCTCACATATTTGAAAATGTAGGCAGCCAATAAAGAAAACTGTTGAGCATCATGAGACTACTCACATTTTGGGACATTTTAGCTAATCATCATCATCATCATGCTCACAAGAAAATTTATGCAAAAACATGCTTTATGATCAGAGGACACTGGCTAGCATCCTGTTATGCAGCTATGACATCATAAGCTAGACTTATGATCTGCTTCATATGTTCACAGAACAGTATGAAAATTTCCTTATTGACTTTTATAATTGTAACCACATTATCATGATTGCGGGATATAGGTCAGTGTGTTTTGAGCATAATATACCACATTTTGCACAGAATGCATTGTTTACTGCACAAATAACAATTCCTGAAATGGAAGCAGATAAAGTCTTGTAATCTCACCCAATAAATAGTAATTTTTTGAAGTCATTTATTCTTGGATGTCTGAATAAAATAAGAAAAAAAATCACCACTAGGAAAAAAAACAAAAACTTCTCCTGCCTGTTAAGCATTTTAAATATTTGTCTTAAAGAATCTGTCTGTATACCAGTTTAATCAGCCCTATGCTTTATTAAAGTTGTGAGTCCTGATCTTTAACAAATACATGGTAGACCATAATAGGAAAAACTGAATCTAACTAAATTTAGCCAGTGTTCATGGCTGAGGATTTTATTTAATTTTTTAAATCTGTATTTTGCAAATTTCTCCACAAATCAAAAGGAACGAACCTGATATTATAAGAAAAATTGAATGATGTGAGAAACCAAAACTGACATATTAGTTCATCCCTACTTTTGACTTGCTTTGTCAGGAGTGTTATACTACCACCTCTCTCCCATATTTTAGTAATCTATAATGGAAAATGTGACAGCTAATTATCTCTACTGAGGTTCAAACTATAGTGCCAACAAATACAAAGCCACAAGCACAAATCACATCAATGAGAACAACTTCATTTAAGGTGCTATATTCCTTTCAATTTTTAAAGAGCAAACTTTAAGCTCTTGGCTTATCTTTAGATTTCTAAGAACCAACCCTCCTGTGTCTTAGGTACAACACTTATTTTGATACATTCAAACCCCTTCCTTTGCAATTCCCCAAGGAATCTCTCAAGCAAAAGTGACAGAAAGCTTAAATGTAATTGAGACAAGCTCACATCTCTCACTTGGGATATTTAAAACTCTCAAAAGAACAAGACAGCAGCCTGTGTAGCAATCAAAATATGGAATCTAATGCCTTTATTATCCCTTGTGAGTGACAGCAGATCTGCATCTTGCCCCAGGAATCTACACCATGCTGAAAGATGGTTGTGCTGTTTCCACTGTTAGTCTGAATGTGAATGTTTTCTCTTGTCAAAGTAATTTGTATTGGATACCATCACATATAAAAGCATTTTATTAACCACTGCATATTGGTATCATTTATCTTTTACTGATAAGCATTTCCTAATTGTAAATTCTATCACATATCAATGTTCCTTACAAACAAAAGAATAAAAATGCATGAGCTCCCAGTTTCACAACAGAAAAGCATACCTACTTTTCCATTTTAAAAAATGTAATTAAAATTCCCAAAACCTGGAATATTCAGAGAATTTTCTAATGAGTTGAAGAGAGAGCCTTGCAAATTGTGTAACACAACATTTTGCAGCATAAATATATAGCGAGGGGGGAGGGGAGTAGCACTTATTTATTTCATATAGTATGGCCTCCATATCCATGGGGGATACATTTCTGAGCTTTCTTTTAAACCTGAATCTTATGTTTAATCTTTATTCTGTTTATTTTAATATGTATTTTGTCGAAATATGTCTTAATATGTGTATACTGTAGAATGTTTTCGATGACGCTGTGTTTTTAGCAATATTGCAACCCACCTCGAGCTATGAGGAGAGGCAAGTAAGAAATAAAACTTATTATTATTATTATTATTATTATTATTATTATTATTATTATTAGCTTCTGGTTTGAGAGAATTGGTCATCTGTAAGGACGTTGCCCAGGGGACACCTGGATGTTTAACCATACTATGGGAGACTCCTCTCATGTCTCTGCATGACTAACTGGAGCTGATGGATAGGAGCTCACCTTGCTCCCCAAATTCCATCTGCTGACCTTTCAGTCAGCAGTCCTGCTGGCACAAGGGTTTAATGCATTGTGCCACCAGGGGCAACTTGCAGTTTCTCAAATCGCTCCTGGCTAAAAATGATGATGATGATGATGATGATTAGAAATAATAATAATAAATGAACCCTACTGAAATGAATTACTTCCACTGAAAGTTAATAGAGTTGCTCTGGAGAACCTAGAAAATCTGAAAGCTGTGTACTTTATTACAGTGTTAAAAACAACGTATGTTCCTGTATGATAAAATATGTGAGAAAAGTTTTCCGTTCCTGGAGTAAGAAATTCATATAAAATACTTAGATTTTTATTTTTATTTTTTCAATATTTGCATATACATAATGAGATAACTTAGAAATGGAAATCTAAACACAAAATTCATGTATGTTTCATATATGCCTTATAGGTAATTACATACACAAGATTTTTAATCATTTTGTGCATCAAACAACATTTGTGTATATTGAACTGTAAGAAGGCAAAAGTTACATTATCTTAGCCACCCATGTGGGCAATCTTGGGGTATTTCAGAATCCCACATAAGGGATACTCAACTTATATAAGCATTGTAAAACAACAATATTTACATTTCATCAATACTACATACATTACTGTATGCAAGACCTAGATTTTGCACTAAGAGTGACTCAGCAGTTGTTCACACATTCATAGATTCCAAGAAAAAACAAGGCATGTTTCAAGATATATTTTTTTTAAAATGGTAGGGGTAAAAAACATCTTTTGAGGATTTTGAGAGGTGAGTCTAGTTTCTTCTACAGGTTCCATTGGATGTTCTCGAACTTTAGCTTCTTTCACACATTCATAGAACAATTTCCCAGAATATTTCTTATAACCAAAATAACAAATTCTGGCTGTAAAGCCTACCTAGATATTCTGAATGGTTTGAAAATATTTTCCAAAGATGGATTTTACAAAATGTAGCTTTCCATATTAGGATGAAATGACAACTATAGATTGCAGCTAAAAAAGATCAGGATTTTCCAGTCTGCATATCTTAAAACTAGATCTCTGACGCAAGTCAAGGCTCAAATTCCTCTTGTCCTCTCCTGAAAGCTGACTGATGTCATGAGGAGGGTCCCTTCTCTGTTACATCACTGAATTAATTCCTGGCCAAAGAACCATAGCTTGCACTACAATGGCTTTATTTGTCTTTTGACTTCTTTCCCCAAAGGAAAAAGTACAGCAGACTCAGCAGATGCTTTAAGGACCCAGAAAAATCCTAACTTTGGATGGAACCATGCCCTTTGATGCACTAGCTGAGTGTACAGCCATTTTAAAGTTGATATTTCTTTTTTTATTGTTCCACGTGAATGTGCAGGTTTTGCCTTGCTGTTACACTCCAACACACATTTTGTTGCCTCAATACATTTCAGTCTTCCCCACATGGAGACGGGAAGGGAGGAATGAAGCTACAGAGCCATAGCCTCAGAACCACAGATCAATCACATCATGAAAGAAAGTTTTAGTTTAAGTGTTTCAGTTTAAGCAAATGCATCAGTTTAAGTAAATGTTTTTAGTTGAAGTAAATGCACCTCTTAAGGAAGGAGTAAAGTAATACAGCTATCAGTGCCTCACTGCTGGAACACAAATAAAATTAAAGGCGTCTTTTCTAGCAGCTGGTGTCTCAACAGTCCTCCCCATGCTACCACTTTAAATGTACAAGTCCTCAGCCCCAATTGATTTCTCAGTTTCCTTTCCTGACCCCCTAAGTCCTTCTCAGCCTTTGAAATTGCTTGCTTCAGACTACACAGGCAACAGTGGTTGAAATGTCACTGCATTTAATGATTTCAGTTCTCTGTTCAAACACTTCAGCAGCCTGGCTTCAAATAGATGGGAAGGGGCAAAGACACCTAAGATGGGCCAACTCCACCCAGGGGAAGTGAAAGAGAGTGAGATGTTCAGATGGTTAGGCAGCCCCCACAGTGCACCACTTAAGAGCTCCTACCCCAGTAGATTAAAAAATTGGAAGGACAAGTGGAGGGCACAGAATTCAACTTTCTTTTGAAAAAAAAATCTTGTTCTATTTGCAAGCTCTTTAAACACATCTCTTCTATTGCACACTCTCTAGTATGACAGCAGGCCAAAAAAGGCCAGTGCAGAAGCATTTTCTGGGGATAAAAATATACATCTTTGGTCTAAATGTTTCACTTTTAGTTTACAAACACAGGTGGTGATGTTTGTATGTTCCAAGACCCCCAGAGACATCTGAAATCATGGTCAACAGTGAACCTTATATTTTGACAACCAAATAGCACTGGAGGACTTAGAGAAGCCTATACACACTTCTGGGAGGGAACATTTTTGGAGCATGGGTAAGTCAAACAATGAATATTGAGTCTGTGGAGAAGGGGTTATTTGGGTTTTTTACCTATAAATTATCATGCTGATTCAAAATTTTTAAGAAGTCTTTGGTTTCTTTAAATTGAGTGATCAACAGTAATCTTGTTTCTCTGTGAATTGCAATATAATTTAGATATTAAATGTATGCAGTGGAACTTTGACTTAAGAGCACCCCAACTTAACAACATTTTGAGTTAAGAGCCATCACTCACCCCACGTTTCACTTTGATATATGAGTGGCATTTTGAGTTAAGAGCCAGGGCCAGAGGGAGCGCTAGCGTGAGAGTACAGGGCTTTAGGGCTTCAAGGGAGCAGCCTCCGTACCTCATGCTCTTC